TGTGTGACTTAGGCCCAGAGAGGAGGCAAAACATGTCTTTTTTTTTTTTAAGCAATTTTTTAAAAGGTAGAACAAAATCATTTTATTGACTTAAATTTTTTGTTGTTTTTGCAAGAGTTAAAAGCCAAGTGGAAAGTTTTTTTTTTTTAGAGGTTTTTGCTATAGGGCGTGTGCACTCGCCAGAAAGAGAGAGACAGAGACACAGAAAGTGAGAAATCACCCCCTCCAGGGGCTGTCCACGCTGCAATCCCATCTCCTCCATTCTCCTCTCAGGATCTTGGGCACGCACACACATGCGCCCAGCATGAGTTTAAGCCACCAGGTCTGGGACTCGAACCATGATTGGCTACATGGGAGTCCAGCAACATAGCCATTACGCTATTATGATAGCCATTATGCCATTATGCTGGTCCCCTCACTTTCTGTCTCCCTGTCTCTCTGAGCGTACCCATGCCCTATAGCAAAAATCTCTCTAGGGAAAAAAAAATTGCTGACTGTGAGCAAAAAAATTAAAATTAAAATAATAAAAAAAAAGACTTTAGGCTGACTACTGCCAGAAAACTGATGATTTTTTTTTTAATAGAAAATTTTTGTTATGTAATTTTTTTTTTTTTTTGAGAGGTTTTCATTATAGGGCACGTGCGCTTGCCAGAAAGACAGAGAGAGAGACAGAGAGGTAGAAAGAGAGAAATCAGCCCCAGGGGGTATGGCCACGCCGCAATCCCTTCTCCTCCATTCTTCTCTTGGGATCTTGGGAACACACGCCCACACGCCCAGTATGAGTTTAAGCCACCAGGTCCAGGACTCGAACCGCGGTTGACTACATGGGCGTCCAGCAACATAGCTATTATGCTAACTGCTGTTCCCTGTTATGTAATATTTTGTAAATCAAGGAGTTCCATCAGATGAAACACACCCTCTTAAGCTGATTATTAAATTAATTATGTACTTGAGACTTTTGTCTTTAAACAAAATGCAAAAAAAGAAAAAAAACACTCTAGCAGACTAATATCTTTTAATATGAGCTGTCCACTCTTTTTTTCTGTGCATTGTAACAAGGCTATTTTTTTATTTTTTATTTTTTAATTATGTTATGTGCTTATAGTTTGGCCTATAGTGTCTTAGAGAATGAACTAGAGTTGAATTTGTTAGTAATAACTATTTTTTAATAATTATTTATCCATTTTTTGTTATTACTAGTATTAATTTTACCAGACAGAGACAGAAAGAGAAAGGGAAAGTGAGAAAGCAAGCAGCCAGTTCCAAAACTGGAACCACAGTAGACCATGTGGGAATCCAGCACCTTTAACCATCACACCACCTGCTGGCCCCAAATAATAACTGTTATGTTAACTGATTTGTCAATATATATATTTTTTAAGTTTATTTTTTGGAAAGAGAGGGGATAGGAAAAGACAGAAATTGTTTGGAAAAGGGAGTTTGGGTACCTTTTTAATTTTAGAAGCAGTTTGTAGGTTTTTTTGAGACAGTTTTAAATTTATTTTTGTTAAGTTTTTATAAGGAGTTGAAATAAATAATTCTTTTAACCATTTTCTAAAATGTCTTCCCCCTCACATTTTACTGATTCACTAAAGATCTTGGGACCAGCAGTTAGCATAATGGCTATGTTGCTGAACTCCCATATAGTTGACCGCAGTTCGAGTCCCAGACCCAGTGGCTTAAACTCACGCCTGGCATGTGTGCGTGCGTGCCTAGGATCCCAGGAGGAGAATGGAGGAGAAGGGATTGCAGCATGGCCATCTCCCCCCGGGGCGGGGGTGATTTCTCGGTTTCTGTCTCTCTGTCTCTCTCCGTCCTTCTGGCAAGTGCACGTGCCCTATAGCAAAAAAAACTCTCCAAAATAAATAAACAAATAAATAAAAATTTAAGAAAGGAGAAATCAGTCTGTAAATTTAAGGATTTTTTTTTTTTTGAGAGGTTTTTGCTATAGGGCGCATGCACTTGCCAGACAGACAGAGAGATAGAAAGTGGGAAATCACCCCCCAGGGGAGATGGCCATGTCGCAATCCCTTCTCCTCCATTCTCCTCTTGGGATCTTGCGCATGCATGCACACGTGCCCCGCGTGAGTTTTAAGCCACCGGGTCCGGGACGTGAACCGTGATCGACTACATGGGAGTCCAGCGAAATAGCCATTACGCTAACTGCTGGTCCTGAAATTTAAGGATTTTAATGCGGTGTACTAACTTTTTTTTTTTTAAAGCATCTTTCTGTTAAATGTTACTCTTGTTTTGAGATCACTCCTTTTACATTCTTTTTTAAATATTTTTGCTATAGGGCGTGTGCACTTGCCAGAGAGACAGAGACCAAGAAATAACCCCCCAGGGGGATGGCCATGCCACAATCCCTTCTCTTCCACTCTCCTCTCGAGATCTTGGGCACACGTGCACATGCACCCGGTGTGAGTTTTAAGCCACTGGGTCCGGGACTTGAGCCGCAGTCAACTACATGGGAGTCCAGCGGTGTAATCATTACGCCATCTGCTGGTTCCAGGAGCAAGTGTTTTTAGGTTGGTGATTGGAAAAGGAAGGTTGTCGAGGTCAGAAAAGAATGTACTTTAACAGAGATAAAGAGGCTTCATATATATTACAAAGATATTATGCAAGCGACAAGATGTAAAAAACGTCCCATTATCAATAAGTCAAAATAGTCTGTGAATGTCCATAGGCATGACTGCCTCCAGGCGCTTTACAAATTTTTTAAAAAATAAAAACGTCAGGCGTCTGTCCTCACAGGCCAGGTAATATACAAGAGAATAGGATTGTAAAAACAAAAAATGACACAAACAGCTTGAGGACACACATTTTACAGGTGTCACCAAAGACTTGACTTCTGTGTGGAAGAGGGCCACATTTTATTTTGTTTAAATCCGGCAGTCAAACTGAACTCAACGTGAGTTGTTTTTGTTTTAGTCTCCTTCCCCCACTCCCCTTTCTCTTCTTCAATTTAACTTTCTAATTCAAAGTACCTTTTGATTACAGAAAATGTGCAACAACTATACTAAACACTTTTTCCTGAATTGTTTGAGAGCAAGTTGCCCACAGAATGTACATCACCCCTGAGCACTCTAGTGGATATTTCCAACAAATATCCCCCCCGCCCCAAACCACAATACAGTCTTTAAAATCAGTCAGTTAACATCAATACAATACTATCAGCTAATCCTAGATTCCATTCAAATTTCTCCACTTTTTCTTATTTTTTATTTTTATTTTTTAGAGAGGTTTTTGCTATAGGGCACGTTCACTCGCCAGACAGACAGACAGAAACCACACATTCGCTCGCCAGACAGACAGACAGACAGAAACCGAGAATCACCCCCCAGGGGGATAGCCACACCACAATCCCTTCTCTTCCATGCTCCTCTCAGGATCTTGGGCACGCACGCACACGCGCCTGGCATGAGTTTTAAGCCACAAGGTCCAGGATTCGTACCGCGGTCGACTACATGGGAGTCCAGTGACATAACCATTATGCTAACTGCTGGTCTCTCTCCACTTTTTCTTATGATGTAATTTATTGCACAAAGATTTTGTTCTGAGTAACTGTGCTACTCTTTTATCTTTTTCTGTCACTCTCTGGCATTTAATGGGACACTGACATGTTATTTCGGAACACTGTTTACAAAGTGTCTTTTTTCTTTTTTTGAAAGAATTATTTTATTTAACCTTATATATTTATTTATTTTAATTTGACCAGAGAGGGACAGAGTGAGAGAGAGAGAAAGTAAGAAAGCAAGCTGTCAGGTCCAGGACTGGAATCATGGCCAGCCACGTGGGAGTCCAGAATCCTCAACTACCAAGCCACCTGTTAGCCCCTCAAGTGTATTTTTAAACCTGAAAACCATTGTCTACCATTAAAACATTCTGATTTTTAAAAAGCTTGCATATTACGCAACTCATTAGTAAAAGTAAGAGTGTGTGTGGGTACAGTTCACCTGCCAAAACTAGAATACACATTTTTATCAAAGTATCTTTTCTAACTATAGCAAAATGAAACGAAAAGTCAGTAACAGGAGAACTGGAAAATTTGCAAATAAATGAAGATTAAATAACACTCTTTTAAACAGCTAATGGGTCAAAGAGGAAATCACAAGAGAAATTAGAAAATATTGGGGTCAGTAGGTGGTATAGTGGTTAAGGGGTTGGACTTCCACATGGCTGACTGCAGTTTGAGTCCTGGACCTGTTGGCTTGCTTTCTCACTTTCTCTCTCATGAGTGCATGTGCCCTGTAGCAAATTTAAAATGAATAATAATGATAAATAAAATTAAATAAATAATTTTTTTTGAGAGAGATTTTTGCTATAGGGTGCATGTGCTCGCCGGAGAGACAAAGAGACAGAAAGCGAGAAATCACACACACACACACACACCCAAAGGGGATGGCCATGCTGCAGTCCCTTCTCCCCTCATTCTCCTTTTGGAATGTGGGGCACACTTGCACATTCACTCAGCATGATTTTAAGCCACCGAATCTGGGACTTGAACTGCTGTCGACCATGTGGGAATACAGCTATGTAACCATTTCACTATCTGCTGGTCCTGAAGTAAATAATTCTTTAAAAAAAGAAGAGAAAATATCTTAAAACAAATGAAAACAATGTGTCAATTTATGGGATGCAGCAAAAGCAGCGCTTAACAGGAGATTAAGTATTCTGACTGTGTAGTCATCCATGTGGGATCCTGCTGCCTTAACCGTGTCATCTACTGGCCCAAAAGGTGGTTTTTTTTTGTTTTTTTGTTTTTTTTTTTCCTAAGATAAAAAGAATAAAGGCATTTGTCAAGTGTGTATTATTTAGCTAGCCCCAGAAAGCAATGGGACAAATGTTATACAAATAAATGGTTGAGAGTTTTTGGAACCTGGAGAAAAATCCAAGTTTTGTATGATTTTTGGAAGCTGGGGGAGAAGGAATGAGAGATGGATCTTGTGATGGGTGAGATCTGGAAGCCATTCATTTCAGTCCCAACTTTGTCCCCACAGGTCCTACTTGACTCAGCCATAATCACCACATTTCCTGATCGATCAGCTGCTCCCCAACGATGGAAGTATAATAGCCACTCGGATAGACTGTGTCCACCAGGTACAGTGAGACTGACCTCTAGTCCCTTATACTACCCTATCTCCATGTTCTTCTCTTTCCTACATTCCTGTTTTTTTATTCAGTGGATACTGACTAATCTTTTGCCAAATCAAGGTCACAAAGATTTGTTCCTGTATTTTCTGCTAAGATTTTTGTAGGTCTAGTTCTTACATTTAGGTATTGATCTGTTTTGAGTTAATTTTTGCAAATGGTATCAGGTAAGGGTCCAACTTCATTCTCTTGCATGTGGCTATCCAGTTGCACAGTTGTCTCCCACCATGTGTCTAACAGCTATTCTTTCGGTATCATTTTCTTTCTTTCTTTTTTTTTTTTTTAAGAATTACTTAATTTTATTTATTCACTCTCTTATTTTAATATAGCCAGAGAGAGAGAGAGAGAGAGAGAGAGAGAGAGAGAGAGAGAGAGAGAGAGAGAGAGAGAGAGAGAGAGAGAGAGAGAGAGAGAGAGAGGAAGTGAGAAAGCAATCTCCCAGGTCTGGGACTCAAACCGTGGTTGGCCATGTGGGAGTGTTCAGCACCTTAACGACCATACCACCTGCTGGTCCCCCTTTCGGTATCATTTTCAAACCACTGGGTTCAGAACTCAAATAGTGAAGTCAGCCATGTGGGATTCAGCTGCCTTAAAGTCTAGGCCATCTGCTGTTCCCTGTATGGATTTATTTTTTAATTTTAATTTTTTTTTTTTTTTTTAAACCATAGGACCTGAGAGTTCATTGGAGAGAGAGAAGGAGAGAGAGGGAAAGTGAGAAATCACTCCACAGCAGGGATGGCTATTCTGCAGTCCCTTCTCCTTCATTCTCCTCTTGGGATTTTGGGCATGCACCCACATGCACCAGGCATGATTTTCAAGCCACCAGGTCTGGGACTCAAACCATGGTTGGCCATGTAGGAGTCCAGTGCCTTAACCACCATGCCACCTGCTGGTTCCTCTGAGTTTATTTTCATAGTCTCATTGTGTTTGTTGATCTGTGCCTTTCATTTTGCCAATACCACATTGTCTTGAATACTATTGTTTTGTGAGTTTTGAATTCATAAAGTGGGAGTCTTCCTACTTTGTTTCTATTTTCTAGGCTTATTATGGTTATACTGTGTCCTCTGCAATTCCATATGTGTTTTAGAATCAGCTTGTCACTTTCTAGAAAGATGTCACCTTTGTTACTGGTGGGGATTGTGTTGACTCTGTAGAGCAGTTTGGCAGTTTGGAGAGTACTGTCATCTTAACAATGCTGTCTTTTTTGTTTTGTTTTCGTTTTTAATATATTTTTGCTATAGGGCGTACATGTGCTCACTAGAGAGAGCCAGAAAGTGAGAGGGAGAGGGAAAGTGAGAAATTATCCCCCCAGGAGAGATGTCCACACCACAATCCCTTCTCCTCTAGTCTCCTCTTGGGATTTTGGGCACACATGCATGCTCATATACCTGGCATGATTTTCTTTCTCTTTCTTTTCTTTCCTTTTTTTTTTTTTTTAAAGAGAGATTTTTGCTATAGGGCATTTGTGCTCATTGGAGAGACAGAGTGAAAGAAAGCAAGAAATCACCCGCCAGGGATAGTGGCCATGCTGTAATTCCTTTTCTTCCATTCTCCTCTTGAGATTTTGGGCATGCAAACACATGCACCATTGTGAGTTTCGAGTCACCAAGTCTGGCACTCAAAATGCAGTTGGCCCTGTGGGAGTCCAGCAGCGTAACTATTGCACCATCTGCTGGTCCTGCCTGGCATGATTTTCAAGCTGTCAGGTCTGGTACTTAAAGCATGCAGCAGGCTAATGGGATCCAGTGCCTTATCTTCCATGTCACCTGCTGACCTGTTGTTAATTAAGTCTGTTGATTTATGAACATGAGACATTTTCCCATTTATTTAGATTATTCTTATTTGTCTCCCTTTTTTGTAGATTTTATACTATAGGTTTTATATTTATTTAAAAACTTATTCCTAAATATGTAATGCTCTTTGATGGCATTATAAATTATTTTCTTAATTTCATTTTTCAGATTGTTCATTGGAAGGATATTGATGTTGTATTCTGTAACTTTGCTGAACTTGTTGACCATTTTTTAATGTTGATTTAGTAAATTATTCAGGACTTTTACAGATAATATCATGTACTTGTAAATAAAGATAGCTTTGCCTTTTCCATTTCAATCTAGATGCCTTTTATTTCTTTTACTTGCCTAATTGCTCTGGTTAGAACCCCAAGTCAAATGCTGAATGAAAGTGGTGAGAACAGACCTATTTGTAGGGGGAAAATATTCTTCTCTTTTTTTTTAACATTATAATATAATGTTTACTTAGTTTGTCTATTAATTAATTAATTAATTTATTTTTAAGTAATTTTTTAAAAAAAAGTTTGTTGTAGAGTGCACGCACTTGCAGAGAGAGGGAGATATATCACCCCTGGAAGGGATAGTCATACCACGATTCTTCTCCATTGTCCTCTGGCACTCAAAATGCAGTTGGCCCTGTGGGAGTCCAGCAGCGTAACTATTGCACCATCTGCTGGTCCTGCCTGGCATGATTTTCAAGCTGTCAGGTCTGGTACTTAAAGCATGCAGCAGGCTAATGGGATCCAGTGCCTTATCTTCCATGTCACCTGCTGACCTGTTGTTAATTAAGTCTGTTGATTTATGAACATGAGACATTTTCCCATTTATTTAGATTATTCTTATTTGTCTCCCTTTTTTGTAGATTTTATACTATAGGTTTTATATTTATTTAAAAACTTATTCCTAAATATGTAATGCTCTTTGATGGCATTATAAATTATTTTCTTAATTTCATTTTTCAGATTGTTCATTGGAAGGATATTGATGTTGTATTCTGTAACTTTGCTGAACTTGTTGACCATTTTTTAATGTTGATTTAGTAAATTATTCAGGACTTTTACAGATAATATCATGTACTTGTAAATAAAGATAGCTTTGCCTTTTCCATTTCAATCTAGATGCCTTTTATTTCTTTTACTTGCCTAATTGCTCTGGTTAGAACCCCAAGTCAAATGCTGAATGAAAGTGGTGAGAACAGACCTATTTGTAGGGGGAAAATATTCTTCTCTTTTTTTTTAACACTATAATATAATGTTTACTTAGTTTGTCTATTTATTTATTTATTTATTTATTTATTTATTTATTTATTTTTAAGTAATTTTTTTAAAAAAAGTTTGTTGTAGAGCGCACGCACTTGCAGAGAGAGGGAGATATATCACTCCTGGAAGGGATAGTCATACCACGATTCTTCTCCATTGTCCTCTTGAGATTTTTGGGCATGCATGAACACACAACCGAGTGTTTTTTATTTTAATTTATTTAAATTTTTTTTTTAGAGGTTTTTGTTATTGGGTACATGCACTTGCCAGAAAGACAGAGACAGACAGACAGACAGAAAGTGAGAAATCACTTCCCAGGGGGGATGACCACGCCACATAGTGTTGTTCAAACCTACAATTTTCTGGGGCAGCAGGTGGAGTGGTGATTAAGGCACTGGATTCCCACATGACTGACTGCTGTTCAAGTCCCAAGCCTGAGGGTTTGAAACACACCGGGAGTGTGTGTGTGTGTGTGTGTGTGTGTGTGCCCAAAGTCACAAGAGGAAAATGGAAAAGAGATAGTGGGGTGGCCATCACCCCTGGGGGGGTGATTTCTCACTTTCTGTCTCTCTGGCTAGTACAGTACACATGCTATATACCAGAAATCTCCCCCCCCCAAATAAATAAATAAATAAAAAGAAAGAACAAAAAACTACTATTTTCTTGTTAATCTTATATAAATCCCTATAGATTAAGGAATTTATCCTTTTAAATGTGATTTGTGTCCCAAGTAATCTTTTTTTTCTAGTTCATTTCTTTGTCATTATTCCTTTCTTGAGTTTTCTTAATTTTTATATAGTTGACTTTAGCAAGTTTCTTGTCATACTAAGAAGGTCCTTTCCCTCTCCAAACTTGTAAGAAAAAAATTTCTCATGTATTTTTTGCAGTAATTGTTTGGTTTCATATTTTAGAATTAATTCATTGATCTACCTAGTCTTCATTTTCTTATAAGGAAAACAGAAGGAAGAAACTTTATTATTTATCAGCAATCACCTTGGTTGCCCCAGCGTCATTATTATTGAGTAATCATATTTTTATCATTGATAGCAAATTTCCTCTTAATACATTATAAGAAAGGTTTTGTTTTGTTTTGTTTTTTACTTTTATTATTATTATGTCAGGGAGGGTATGCATGCACTACAAAGAGAGAGCCTGCAGAGGGGTGTGGTTACACTTCAATATCCTTTCCTCCAATTCTCTATCCTGTCAGAATCCTGGGCATGTGTGCATGCCCACTATGTAAGCCATTAGGGCCGTAACTGGAACTCTGGTCAACCACATGGGATTCAGCCTCCTCTCCATAGCACTTAACGATAATGTTACAGGTCTGGTCCAAGGAACATTTTTTATGAAAGGTGAATTTTCTAGAGTATCTTTCAATGTTGATAGAATCAAGGGAGGGGGGAGAAAGGGGTTTTGCAGGGAACAGTGAGGTCACCTGAAGGAGCCATGCTCTGGAGTTGCAGGACTCAGGACATGTGCTGTCAGTCACAGCTCCAGCGTATGTCAGCTCAGTGCCTGGAGATCGCCTCTTCTCTCCAGGGCAGCCCACATCTCCTTTCTTTGGATCATTCTTTGACTGTCTATGGGTAGGACCCAATTTTTCTTCCATTTTCCACCCACAGCCGGTGACAGGCCTTTAACTGGACTTTCCCCTCATTATCGTAGTGTCTCTGCTCCTTTTTTTTCTCTCTGACAGACCATGAATTCTGACCTTGAATTAATTGAGGACAAGGACTAGGACTCTGTTTTGTGAGTTTTCAGGGACCTGTGTGGTTACAAAACAATTTAAACATAGCAACTCTGAGTTGGGATATGTTATAAGTTAAAAATACACTCTGGATTTTGAAGACTTAATATTTTCTTTAAAAGTACAAATCTCAATTTTTTATATTGATTACGTGTTAAAAGGATAGATTTCTGATATTTTAGGTTAAAAAAAGGTCCATTGTTAAAAGATCTGGATTTTGAAGACTTAGTATTTTCTTTAAAAGTACAAATCTCAATGTTTTATATTGATTACATGTTAAAAGGATAGATTTTAGATATTTTAGGTTAAAAAAAGGTCCATTGTTAAAATTAGTTTTACCTCATTCATTTTACTATGTTCATATGGATACTATGAATTTGAATTTTATGCACGGTTTGTATTATATTTTTCTCAACAGTGCTAATCTAAGGTATGCAGTAACTGACAAACTAACCAAGGCCAGGTAGAGTGGATATCTCTATTTGGATTCCACTGAAGGCTGAAATAATGTCCCTTGGTAACCACTGCCAGCCTCTGTGAATTCTACAATGATTCACTCACCAGCCTTTTTCTTTCTTCTCAGGATACCATGCCTCCGGACACGGTGAATGTCAGCCATGCACTCCGGGTGTAGACTACACCAATCACTCCAATTATCTACCGGAGTGCATACACTGCACTATTTGTAATAAAGGTACAGAACACATAGACTGCTTGCCCAGAGATGGAAGAGGGGGGGTGGATGGATGAGGTGGGAACTGTAGCTGATATGGGCTCAGAAACTCGGATTCCAACTCAACCTGATTTTCATCATACCTTGTTCCATGACTATGTTTTTGAATCAATAAATAATTTAAAAAATAGAGAATTAAACATAATGCATGCCAGTTTGCAGAGAAATCATTTAAGCCATTAGTTCAAAGGGATGGGATAATAACCTACTGCTTGGGAAGGAGGCCAGTAGGTGCCGTCAAGCATAGTCACAGTGGTGAGTTCCACGGCTTCCTTGGTCCGTTGAGTCGTAAACTCGGCAAGCACTTGCTGAGCATCTATTGCAGGATAGGCAGTGAGTGTGCTGGGTCTTACTACAACAAAAGCATTTCCATAGGACAGCTGTGGGCTAGTAGTGGAGCAGACTCAGGTGGCTGAACGGAGATAAAGCCTGCATAGAGAGATGGAGACTTGATGAAGGAAATTGGGAAGGCTCAACAGACCAGAGCATGTTTGAGCTGGATCTTAAAGGATGGATAAAAGGCAGTCAAGTGGCAGAGGGAGAGCAAGTCTGGCCAAAGTCCAGAATAGAGGATTAAAAGAGCCCTGTGCATTCAGGACTCATTCAGCTCTGAGTCTAGGTGAGCCTCCTGGACTTTGCTTGGGGGTTTGGACCCCCCAAGTTGCCATGGGATGTGGCAGCTGCTTTGCACCTGTTGGAGACCTCAGAAGGAAGGGTGATGGGAGGAAGGGAATTCTGAGATACAGGCCAGAGGGTGTGGTAACAGTCAAGAGCAGACCGAAGAAGAGCCACACTGAACATCCCTTCTGCCCTGTAGTCAGACTGCCACCTTTTGCAGGGGACATGTCAAATTCTGTCCTGATCCTCGAGCTCCATCATATTCTCCTCATCTTGGATTATCTTCTCTCCTCAAAGGGTCATCTCTCCCTGACTTCAGGCTTTCCTTTCCAGAACATTCCACACAATACTACCACACATTCATCTCTTCCTTCTGGGAACTGCTAAATCTTGGATCTTTTAAGTCTGTGACTTAAGAAAAGGTGTGGCTGAGTGGAAAGGCCTGGGCTTCAGATGTGACTTGGGTCTGTCTAGGACACGACTCTCTTACCCTGTTCTCTGTGCTTCTGGAAGCTGCATAACCTCTCAGGCTTCACATTCGAAGGCCCCTCCCTCCTTCTAGGAGGGCCAGGACTTGGAAACCTCAGCCAAGAGTACCTCCCCTTCCAGGATGTCTCAGATTATACCATGCTCATTGCTACTGGCCCTGTGACCTTAAAGACTTTTCTTCTGATCCCTGCGCACTAAATAATGACTCACATTCTCCTTTGTATGACTCTCAAGTATTGGTGCTAGCTGGAGGGGGTTGGGAGTTGTATTTACATGACCCATATGAGTTGTTGCACAGACTGACCCTCAGAACTCCTGGATGAACTGAGTTTAGCTGGGTGGGAGGAGGCCTGGGTGGTGAGGAAGAGTTACAGAATTTGTCAGGGAAACACTCTCCAAACTTTATCTTTGTTCCCAGATGAAAAAGAGATACAGTCCTGCATCCCGACCAGGGACACAGAATGCCAATGCAAGCCTGGTACTTTCCGGAAGGAAGATTCTCCAGAGTTCTGCCATAAGTGCAGAACTAGGTGAGGCTCTGAAGCCAAGGGGCCCTCAACAGTTCAAGGGAACCCCCAGAAGACCCCAGTTTCCTAGTACCTCTTCTCCTTCCTGATTCCCTGGGGCCTCCACTCCCACAGGGCACCACTGGGGTCTTCTGAGTTTGCAGCATCCCTTCCTGCTCCATCTGCACGTCCCCACTCCTCCCCCTTGCAGCAGCCCCTTCCCACACCCTGTCCTCAGCACATTGTCCCCTTGGCAAGGCTGATTTGCTCTCCAGACACGAGGCCAAGATTTTTCACTTCAAAAGGAATGGATAAAATGCAGCCAGACTTACATTCATCTTTATGCCAATTCATTAATCAAATGCAATTTTTAACTTTTTTTTTTGCAAACAGGGGCCCCATTAAAACAAAAATGCCAATGGCCTACAAAAGTCAAAATAAGGCCCTGGGTATATAGCTCCTTCTAGATTACCATAAAGACCTCAGCCAACTCAGCTGGCTTCACTCTTGGCTCCTGACACCTTAATAAGACATGTCTTGGGGCAGGGAGGTGGTGTGGTAGTTAAGGTGCTGGACTCCCACAAGGCTGACTGCGGTTTATGTCTCAGACCTGGTGTCTTGCTTTCTCACTTTCCCTTTCTCTCTCTGATCAAATTTTAATATAATAATAATAACAATAATAATAATAATAAATAAACTAAATAATTATTTTTTAAAAAAGACATGTCTTTTCCCGGTTTGGGTGGCTGACCACTGGTGTTGCTGTCATCTGTAGAAATGATCAGATAGCTGGAGGACCAGAACTTGTGGTATTCAAGGTTGAATGTAGGATGTGACTCAGCTTGTGGCCACACAGGTTTCTGACCTTCCCTGGAGTGAGATTCCTCCTAGAACAGAGTCTCGTCTGCAGACTAGGGAAGTGTGCACCTTGAGAGAACATTCTGGACTGGGCTGAACTGTGTGTGTTCAGTTCCTTCCCCAGACACAATGGGGAAGGTTGGGGGCAGCCTCTGGAGATGTGAGAAGCCCGAACAGAAGGGTGGTCCCTCTTTCATCCCATCTGGCCAGATCTCCCTCATGAAAACCCATCTTTTCCTTCCTGTGTGTGTACCTAGGTGCCCAGAAGGGATGGTTGTGGAGAGTCCTTGTACCCACCAGAATGATCTGAAATGTGTCCCAGAACGATCAGGTATAAAGGCCAATGGGGAAGCCCCAGGTCCTGGAGAGGCAATGACCACCAGCCCGGGGATTCTTGTCTCTCTCTCTCCTGTCCCAGACAATACCCAACTCTTGGTGGGGATTGGCATTGGTGTCCTGATTGTACTGCTGCTGGTGCTGCCGCTGCTGCTGGGGACTTGGACCTGCAGAAGATCAGGTAGGTGCTGGCTGGAGGAAGGCCACTGGCATGCTCTGCCCTACCCCTGCACAGTTCCCACAGACAGAGTGCCTCCCTGTCTCCCACGTCCTGTCCTCCCCTTGCCTCCATCTTGCTCCCTGTGATTGCCCCTCCTCTCTCGAGGCTGGTGGTCACTTCGTCTCTGGGCCAAGTCTAGGAGGGCAGAGCCAGATCCCATCTTCAGGTGCCAGTCAGGGCAGAGGGGCAGCTAAGTTTTCACCTGGGGACAAGGGTCAGGCTGAGGAGGCAAGGAGGCTTACATACCTTTGGTCAGAGCAGAACCAGAGATCATACACACGATTATTTTTACCGTTTCCCCCTCCTGCTCCTGCTTTCTAGAGGGCCCCAGAGTTGGAACAGCCCCATCTCTGTCCCCCAGACCCAGGGCTTCCTGTCCAGTATCTGTGCCCTCGCCATGCACCCCGTGCCCAGCGCTGCTTTTGGGGAGGGAGGTCTGCATCTGGTCCCTGGCCATTTACTTGCTAAGGAGACTCCCTTCTTTTCAGGTGGCAGATGGAACCCAAAGCACTGGCACACAGTGAGTTGATTTCTCCAGGACCTGGGACATGGGGCGCTCTGGAATTTCTTCCCACCACAACCCAGCCCTGTGGGCACATGCTCCTAACTTGTCCTATCCAGCCGTCTTGTCTACCTAAAAAGGCTGGGGACTCTGGACTGACCCTAAGGGGCTCATGGGTGCTCTGAGCTTGGCACAGATAGGTGGCAGGCAGCAGCCCTGTCCTTGCTCTTTTGGAGATACCCTCACCCCACGGCCCTCACCCTGGGGTGGGGATCAGTTGGGGTGTGGCCCTGCCTTAGGACAGGACCAAGGTCATTGTGGTGGCAGCAGATTCAGGAGATGCTGACCCTGTGCTTGCCTGGGAGACCCTGTTGGGAGGGAGTTGGGGGGAGGACCCACTGTGCCCTGGGGACCCCACTGAGTCCTGCGTGTGGACTCCTGAGCCTCTTCTTTGTCTTCTCAAGGTCTTTCTCTGGCGTTCGTGTCCCCCAGTGGGGCCCGGGGCTCAGGACAATGCTCAGAATGAGATCCTGGGCAGTGGAGACTCACAGTCCACCATTCCAGGGGAAGTCGAGGAGCCAGAAAACCCAACCACTGTTGCCGTACAGTCCCCAGAAGAGGGCGCGCATCTGCTGGTGAGTGGGGCTGGACTATGCTGTGCTCTGCCCCTTCTGGAACTTTCCAGGACTGTGTAGATCAAGGGAGAGGCTGATGCCATCAACTCTTCTGGAGGAAGTGGAGACTGAGGGTGACAAGGGATTGCAGGAGACAAGGCTACATGTTGGCAGGAGCAGCCACCCATGTGGTAACTGCACCTCTCTGTAGAGCACTCTGCTTCTTAGTCTCTGTTCACAGAGCAGGCACTGGGGATTTACGGATTGAATAAGGGCTGTGTGACATCACTCTCTGGTGGTCACGGAACTTAGTAAGCCTTCCTTGCAGTAGTACTTATTCCGAAGTTATTGTTAGGTTGAATTTATTTGAACATAAATATCTATTTTTTTTTTTTTTGGAGAGGTTTTTGCTATAGGGCATGTGCGCTCGCCGGACAGAGAGAGACAGAGAGACAGAACGTGAGAAATCACCCCCCAGGGGGGATGGCCACGCTACAATCCTTTCTCCTCCATTCTCCTCTCAGGATCTTGGGCACACACGCACACGCGCCCGGCATGAGTTTTAAGCCACCGGGTCCAGGACGCGAACTACGGTTGACTACGTGGGAGTCCAGCGACATAGCCATTATGCTAACTGCTGGTCCCTAAATATCTATTCTTATGATCATGTTTGTAGGGAGGCTTCCAGGAAATAGAATTTCTAACCCAACGTGCTGACATGCCTTTTACTGTACACACACAGGTACACGTCCAGTTTGGGCTCATATCCATTCATCAGTTTGCTGTGGCATTGGATAATAGTCAAGTGTGGTTATGTGTTTCATTTTTCATTCCTCATAAGTTTATAATGTCCTTTCTTGTTTTTTTCTTTAAAGAATTATTTACTTAATTTTATTTGTTATTATTATTTTTAAATTTGCTATAGGGCATGTGCACTCACCAGAGAGAGACAGAGAGAGAGGGAAAGTGAGAAAGCAAGCCTACAGGTCCAGGACATGTGGGTATCCAGTGGTCTATCAGGTACCTTCACCACCACTCCACCTTCTGGCCCCATAATGTTCTTTCTTTCAACCTAAAATAATTGAGAAAGCAAGCCTACAGGTCCAGGACATGTGGGTATCCAGTGGTCTATCAGGTACCTTCACCACCACTCCACCTTCTGGCCCCATAATGTTCTTTCTTTCAACTTAAAATAAGTGGAAGGTGTTTTGTTTTGTTTTGTTTTGTTTTTTAATAGTTTGATTTGTAGCATATACTGATGCCATCTTAGTGGAATTTGTTCTGTGATACCACATAAAGTGAGGTGCTTAGTGAAGAGTTCTGAGTCATTGTCTCTTTCCTCTAATCCGTTTTTATTTCCAATTATGACTTCTGATTTACATATAATCAACGTCTCTCTGTGTGCTACAATTTTTTTAAGACATGCATAAAGTATATAATAACCAAATCAAAGATATACACATATTTATCTTCTTTGGCATTGAATATTACATGATATTGTACGTATTGGTTTATAGTTCTACTAGTTCATTTTAAAAATCTATATATACTGATAAGTATACATCAGCTGATGTATACTTATCAGTGAATACAGGTCTGACTTTAGGTCCCACCGTTCAAGTCCTGGACCTGGTGGCTTGCTTTTTCACCTTCCCTCTCTGTTTCTCTGTCCCTATCTGGTAAAATTTAAAAAACAATAATGATAAATAATATTAAATACAATAATTTTTAATTAATAAATCAAAGAAATACAAAGGAACTTTACTTAAAACTTAAAGCCAAGAAACAGGTTAGTATTCTGTTCAAATAGTAGGTACAAGAACTTACCAGCAGCTCAAAATGGGATGAAAATCCTTAAAACTGGAAAACAAAGCCTAGAAAAAGATCAGCAATGTTTTAGTCCAAAGTCATAAAATGGTATTTCACCAGTTCATTTTCATGTACTTATCTTCTGTTGTGATCCGATCTTCCCTGTTAAATTCTGGGATATAATACTCAACTCCAGACGTGTCTCTATAATTAAGTTGGCCATTTTCTTAGTTTTTGAACTCTCATTTCCATGTGTCTGTATTTAATTTTCCTGGTATAGCACTCACTTGAGAACTTCTTGGAGATTTGGTTTGGTGTTGGTAAATTCTTTCAGGTTTTGTTTATCTGAGAATATTCTTGTCTTTTCTTCCCATATGAAGGATAATCTTGCTGGGTACAGTAATCTTGCCGGGTACAATCTTGTCGGTATTCTTGGTTGACATTACTTTTCCTTTACATTTTGAATATATTTTCCCATTCTTTTCTTGCTCACATTGTTTCTGATGAGAGGTCCCATGTTAGCCTGATGTGATATCCTTTGTAGGTTACTTGCCATTTCTCTGACCAAACTTGTGGTTTTGGCCAATCTGGCTATAATGTGTTTTGGAGAAGATCTTTTTGGGTTGATTCTATTTGGGGTCCTTTGTATTTCTTGGGACTGGATCTTTGAGTGCCTCTCTAGGGTTGGAAAGTTTTTTTTGCAGGATTTCATGGAATGGATTATCAATGTCCTTATAAGACTCTTCGCTTTCTGGGATACCAATTATCTGGATGTTTGGACGTTTGATGGTATCTAGTATTTCTCGTATATTATTCTCATTTTGTTTGGCCATTTTCTGTCTTCATGGTGGACTTTTCTAGGCCAGTGATTCTATCTTCTACATCTGAGATTGAATTTTCTGTATTATCTGGTCTGGTTTTTATACTTTCAAGGGAGATTTTGACTTCCTGTATTATAGCCTCCATCTCTAACAGATCCATTTGATTCTTTTTTAGGGTGTGCATTTCCTCTTTTAGATCTTGCAAGAATTTCCTCATCTCCTGGAACTCGTCAGCTCTTTTCTCCTGCCTCTTCTGCAGTTCATTGTCTCTCTTCTCTTCCATCTCTGTTAGCTTTGTCATTATGAATATTCTAAAATTCTTATCAGACATTTCCATGAATTTCATTGTACTGTCTGAGGATGAAGGGAAGTTATTCTTTTCCCTTGGAGGAAAGGTATTGTCTTACTTTCCCATATTTCTTGTGATCCTGCATTGATTTCTAGTCGTCTGATAGATGGTGCATTTCTTCCTGATTGTTGAAGTTCAATCTGAGTGTTCTAGGCGAGCAGAAGGAGGTGATTTGTAATCTTTCTTCTGTCCCATTTTCATTCTTTGTGCATCAGATTCAGGGTAAAGAGAGGACTATTCCGACCCTAATCATATTCAGATGATTGGAAACTGTTCACTTGGACCTGTCTAGACACTTAGTGTGTAGAGGTAGAAATGAGTCTGGAGGGGGAAGTCTCAGCAGAAAATCTTCATTTTTGGTCAGGGAAACCAATATTTCACAGCTGAAGTACAGTATCCATATCAGGGTAGGCCTGGCTTTTCTGGTGCCTTTCTAGAAATGAGTCTGGAGGGGGAAGTCTCAGCAGAAAATTTCTTCTCTTATGAATACAAATTACCTTAGCTGTTTCTTGGCATTTTGATACTGGTCTTCAATATTCTGCTCTCCCGAGTGTTTTTTCCAGCACAGTCCAGGTTCCTGATGGTCTCCCACATCACATCTCTGTAGAGTTTCTTCTGTGAAGGATCCAGCAAACCCCTCTCCTCCTTGTTGAAGTTCACACAAATATCCTCAAAGGCGACAGGATCCATTTCTCAGCTTCTAGGGGGTCCCACATCCTTCCTATGGGTCTCCCTGTCTGACACGTCACAGAGCCACAGAGAAGCTGCAAGGGACACGAGGACTCTATGCAGGTTTATTAAAAGAATCAGATTTGGTCCTTTTAACCACTGTGTCACAGGGCTGCCTTTGTGCCTTTTGTTATCCTTATGAGTTGGATCCTCTAGTAATCCTACTTTCTAATTTATTTTATCTGCTATATTTTTAACATTCCTCCTGACATGCATTCATATTTTCATATTTTAGTATAGTTTAATCCTTATTTTTTTTTAAGTTTATTTATTTACTTCTAATAGTGAGGGACAGAGAGAGAAACAAAGAAACAGAATTCCCAACAGGGTTTTGACACCACGATTCACCCTCCAGTCTTAGCCAACCTGGATCATGAGCCTGGTGTACTCAGGGAAGTCTCTAGACATGCCCATGTGGATCACCTTTCTGTGCATTGAATTTTATCTCTGTGCTACCATCCAGCCCCCAAAGCTTTTAAGATATACAATCCCACTGAAAATAATTATAATTATGTCTTCCCCCTTCCAAAAGTCTTGGCTCCTTTTTCGTTTCCTGTCTTATTTCAAAGGGCAGAACTTTCAGAACAAGGGTCAGTGATGCTTAGAGTAGACAGATGTTTGAGTCTTCATTTGAATTCATGGGAAGAAGTCCCGTAGCCATTAGCAATGATATCAACTCTTGTTTTCACACAGAAATTCTCAGCGTTACAGATACGGCCTCCTAGTTGAGGTGTTTTGAAAAAATTGGAATTCTGGTGTTTAATGTTACCAAATGCCTTTCCAGCCTCCATGAAGACTGGTGTTTTCATTTCCTTGTTGAGATGTTTAATACGGCACGTTATTATTGACCAGTATACCTTCATGGTTTTGGAATAAACCTTTATTTGCAAAGCACCCTCATATATAGGGTTTTATTGAGTTGCATAAGAAGCCTACAAGAGGGGAACCAGCAGTTAGCGTAATGGCTATGTCGCTGGACTCCCACGTAGTTGACCGTGGTTCGTGTCCCGGACCCGGTGGCTTAAAACTCACGCCGGGCGCGTGTGCGTGCGTGCCCAAGATCCCGAGAGGAGAATGGAGGAGAAGGGATTGCGGCGTGACCATCCACCCTGGGGGGTGATTTCTCGCTTTCTGTCTCTATGTCTCTCTCTGTCTGTCTGGCGAGCGCACGCGCCCTACAGTGAAAATCTCTCAAAAAAAAAAAAAAAAAAAAAAAAGAAGCCTATGAGGAAATGACTGTCTCTTATTAGGGATGAGTGGGAATCAATCAGAACCAACAGAAAAAGACTTTCTGGGATCGTAGGAATGCTCTGTGTCTTTCCTAGGCAATGGCTACACTTGTTTACTTGGAATAGAACGCTTAGGAAGTGCATATTTTACTACATATAACCGATGTCATGAACCACCAACCATTAGCACACAGAGCCTGTGAACTACACTGGGAGGGAGGGTTATCATTGCCTCCATGGAGACCTGAGAGGGGAAGTGACATCATGCCCCATGTCTCACAGCTGGCTGGTGCCAAGGTCAGTACTAGAACCCAGGACTCCTGACTTAGATCAAGGGTGTTCTCCACTGTATGTTACAGGGATCTGCAGAAGCCGAAGAACCTCTGATCAAAAGGAGATGGCTCATTCCTGTGAATGATACTGATTTCATTGAGGGTAAGTGCCTTGTTCCTGGTGA